GTGTACTAAGAAAATTAAAATGATGAGATTTCTGACATATGGAGCACTGTTTCCTGTGTCTCTCACTTAATAAGTGGGGAGGACCATCCTTCCCTTATGTACCCCACAAAGGCCCTAACTTGTCCCGTGAAATTGCATCCAGCCATCCAGCAAAGCATCGTGGGCTTTCACGCTGTAGTCTGTATGTTGGGCCAAGGGTTCGGTGTTATAGAATGTGGATATGGATCCGCTTCCCAGTTGTGAAGTGGCTTAAAAATGCCACTATGTCTGTCTTACAGTTACCTAGGGAACTTGTTTAAAAGTTCAGATACCCAAGCTTGCGCTTAGGGCAAAAGTGACCCCTTGTCTATACACTAGGGTGCTAGAAGGATGGGTCCTCGGCATCAACAGAGTAGCATGATAATCCAGTGGGTGGTTACAGGGCATGTGGTCATGGACTGAATCGGCCTGCCAGTGTGTCCTGTGTCACAACAGAAACACCCCGGAATGGAAAGGCACATAAGCAAAGGTTTCCCCTCGTGAAAACTCCAGAATCCCTTTGCCTGATTAGTATTCCACTTTGTCTAATTGCATTTTAAAATGCTCAGTGGGAGAAAAAAATGCCAAGGCTTTTAATAAATTGAAGGCAGGTCTGCTTTTTAACCTGCAGCAGGTTTTTCGAGAGTCCTGCTGTGGCCGGCTGCTCCCAGGCCCCGGCTCTTTGCAGATGAAGGTAATTAGACCATGCTCGCCTCCGGAGTTGAGGGCATCAAGGCGTCTGGTTGCAGGGTAACTTCTAACTCCCTGGGAGGACACTGGTCATTGCGAAGGATACCTCGTGATTCAGACGCTATTTTCTCCTTCACACAGCAAGAGTGTGCGGGAACTCCTGGCTCAGGAAACAACAGCATGCAGCGTGTCCGAGCACTGAGGCAGTCTCTATGATACACACCTTGAACAGGGCCACTTGAATGCCCAGTCAAGCCAGATTTAGGTTCAGAGAAGCTGGGCAGCTGTCCCAGTTACCCATCTATGAGGAATGCCAAGGGCTCCTGGGAATAAACCCCAAAGCAATGCCAGTGAACTTCGGCTTCCGGGCATGACTGTTGGTTGGACTGGAGACGTGAAAACTCCACCCAGTGTCTTTGGTGAAGAGTCCAGAAAGGTCTAGGGAGTTTGGAGCCTGTGATGTCAGCCTGCAGGGTTTGGAACTGTCTGCTGCTGACTCACAGAGCCTGTGACCACAAGTGGGTTCTTTCACTCCTATGTTTGACAAGTTTAACCATAAAATGAGGATAATAACAAGGCTATTGTGTGTATAGGGGATTGAACCCAGGACCTCATGTGTGCTAGGCACACCCGTCATTGAGCTACACCTCTCTGCCAGTTAATTTTTGTCAACTGGACACAAGCTAGAGTCATGAAGAAGAAGGAACTTCAGCTGAGGAATGGCCTCCATCCATCAACTTGGGACAATGTCTGTGGGGCATTTTCTTTCCTTTCTTTTTCAAAAAAAAATTATTCTGTGTATATGAGTGTTATGTGCACTGTGTACATGTCTAGTCCCTGTGGAGGCCACAAGAGGGCATAGGATTCTGCAGGAGGCAAGGAGGTCCTTGTGCATGAGAGGAGCCAGGAATGTTAAACACACAGGGTTCTTCCTGGAAAGGAAGGGATGCAGAACCTGTTATCTGCTCACAAGACTGGGAACAAATGTGGTTAATAGCGTGTTGCCCTTTGTGCTATCTGTGTGGCCGAGAACACATCCGATCCTCCCCCATCCTTTACGATGAGCTTGCTTCCTTCTTCCTCGTCAATCTGTAGAACCCATCTTTATGGAAAGAAAGTGTCGCGTATACTCCACAAAGTTTCGATGTAGTTACATCTGATCTTTATTTAGCTGACTTTGTGTTTTATTGTGCACATAGGACTGAATTGCTTTACTGTGCACACAGGACTGAATTAATTATCACCAGGAAATTTTCACCAAAATACGCTATCCTTAAGTATGCCTAAAATACACTACTTGGAGTTAGACTCCTGAAGTTTGAACCAACACCACCTACTTAGTTGTGTTAAACAGAACGACCTTCTTGCCTGTTGTGAATCATTACTCTGCTGGCTGTGGTGGTTGCAGAGACCCACCCCATCATCCCCTTGTCCTCCTATCCTTGGGCAAAAGATTTCTCAAACCGGTGTTTCAGACAGTTGTGAACCAACCACCATGTGGGGTGCTTTAAACTGAACTCAGGTTCTTTGCAAGAGCGACAAGTGCTCTTGACCACTGAAACAGCTCTCTCCAGCCCTATGAAACATTGTCTTAATTGCTAATTGATGTAGAAAGGCTTAACTTACTATGAGTGGTTCCACCCCTGCAGGTGGTCCCGGGTTGCATAAAAAGCAGGCTGGATAAACCAGGAGAACAAGTCGGGAGGAACTCTGCTCCTCCAAGCTGCCTGCTTCCCTCCTGCTGGAGTTCCTGCCCTGGTTCCCTCAGTCATTGGCTGAGGCTGGAATGTGGAAGTCAATTAAACCTTTTCCTCTCCAGAGCTGGGGTTTGGTCAGCATGTTGTCATGGCAATGTAAAGCCAATGAGGACAACCCCCCAGAACCAAGTGCCAGTTTGGAAGATTAAGTAGGTGCAGAAAGTTCTTGGAAACCAGCCCTGCACATTACAATGGCTATATAAGGGTTCAAAGTTCCTTAGCGTTTGTGTCATTAGCTCAAGCAGCGGTTTGGGGCTTTGCCAGGCTCTACCTGCAGCCTGAAAGGCAGCCCCCACCCCACCCCCCGAACTGAAGCTCGCAAAGGAACCATGGCATAGGAAGTGCTGCTTATGTTCGTGGATTTGTTTTCTTTTAAAAACACAGTCCTCTCAAACTACCAATAAAGGAGCAGACTGATTTAGCAGATACAAAAGAAATCTGAACAAAGTCAAGCCTGACAGAAGAGATTTACTGACACGAAATTCCACCCACCCTACATATGTATATGTCCATATACGCATTGCTTTTATCCCACGTGGGTAAGTAGCCAGCTGGTTGCCTCTATATAGGGGTATTGGAAAAATTGCGAATGACAGATCATTTTAAGTACGTTGTGGTATCATACACCTTTAATGCCACACTTGGAAGACAGAGGTAGGTGGACCTCTCTGAGTTGGAGGGCAGTCTGGCTTTCACAGCAAGTTCCAGACCAGCCAGACCTACATAGTGAGACACTTCTATCTTCAGGTTTCTATTACTGTGAAAAAAACACCATGACCACGGCAACTCTTATAAAGGAAAACATTTAATTGGGGTGGCTCACTTACAGTTCAGAAGTTAGTTCATTATTCTCATAGAGGGAAGCCAGGGAGCATGCAGGCAGACATGGTGCTGGAGAAGGAGCTGAGAGTTCTTACATCTTGACTCACAGGTAACAGGAAGTGAACTGGCTATCACAACTGACTGAAGCTTGAGCATATATGAGACCTCAAAGCCCGCCTCCACAGTGACATACTTCCTCCAACTAGGCCACACCTACTCCAACAAGGCCATACCTCCTACAAGTGCCACTCTCTATGAGCTTCTGGGGGGCAATTACAAACTACTACACCTGTAAAAGTAAATAAATAAACATTAAGTGTAAGTGCTAGTTTTAACAAGTTAAAACACTATGTTTGATGTTCGTAGCAAGTTACTGATGTTAAGCACAGAGACATGACTTTTACTAGCAGAAAGCTAGACTGTTCAGTATGTCCACCAGCATGAAGGGATCCATACACAACCTTACTGGCTTGCTCAGCCCAATCTGTCAGCTGGACTGAGGCCCCTTCTCCCTCCTCCCCACCCTACCTCAAACATAGTTGAACGTGAGGCCAGAGCTGAGACCATATCTGAAAGCTTTCAACCCTACAAGTTTTACTAAGCACCAGGCAGGTGTAGGAAAGTATCTCAGTGGTGGGTAAGATATGATGAATAAGAGTAGAGACATAGCAAAACCTCCTACCAAAATATTTATATTTCTTTCTATGCTACAACATAGAAAGAAACGTATATGTATGTGTCATGATATATTATCATGTATTTACTCAAAATCTATAATCTATTATTTGAAGATGGCTGATTTAATTATCAGTTTTGTTTTTAAATGTATTTTTTTTCCATTTCAAGTGGATACATGGTTATTTCCAAGAATGCACACAATAGGCTGGAATCTCAGTGCTTGAGAGGTCAAAGTAGAAGAAAAGCCACAAGTTTTAGGCCAGTCTGGGCTACATAGCAAAACCATGTCTCAACAAGCAACAGCAACAACCGCAACAACAACAACAACAACAAAAAGCAGACAATATAAAGTTGTGCAGAGATTAAAAAACAGCCTGCAGTCTTGCAGCGGTGACACAGTGACAGGTCCTTGATGTTTCTTTATACTATATTTTCCCTCTGTATATGAATGCTTTCTCTTTCTAAACATTTTTATTTATGTACAAGTTGAGATTGTGGTTTCCAGCCTTATTTTTTTTCCCCTGCATTGCATCGTGTAGAGTCCCAGTAGAAAACACATTTTGTTTTCCTTCAGCAAATCCTACCCGTGTGTGCCACGACAACCGGCTTGTTTTCCGTTGGCCTCATGAGGGCCCTTTGAGGGACAGAAGCTGCTGAACCGCAGCTGAACCCGACAAAGCTTCCCGTTACTGAACCTGAGCTAGGCGGGAGCAGTTACCCACAGTGGTTTGCAAACAAAGGCGGGACCGTGAGGCTTGGTGGCATCCACGGCCATAAGTGGAAAAGCAGCCAGAATGAAGACCCTGTCTTCTGACGCCCCCTTGCCGGGCCTCCCGTAGGAAAAACCAAAAAAAAGGCGGCCAGTTCTGGAGGATGGAGATTGAATCAAGGTGGCGCGAGAGAGATTTGGAATGTGTCCCGAAGACCCATGTGTTAAAAGCTTTGACTGGGCTCAGCTCTGTTGAGAGGTGGTAGAAACCGTATGGCCGCGTGGGAGGTCTAACCGCTGCCCTGTGTGAGGCAGAGTGGAAACGAGGAAGACTAAGGGGGACAGAGGAGTGGGGTGTTGCCTTCTGGGAATCTGGCTGAAGCCCAGCTCCAACCGAGAATCAAGCATCCCAGCACAACGTGTGCTGTAAGTTTGCCGACATAGACATCGTATTTCTCTCATAGAAAGATATTTTAAGATAAAAATGTGAAAATGGTGACAAACTATGCATAAGGTCGTAGTATATGTGAATTTGACTTTGGCCTTCTGTCTTTCTCAGAAATGTCCAAGAAATCTTACAAACAAGACTATTGACTTTCAATAACAGTCGAGACATCACTTCCTGGAGCCATCTTAGGGTGCTGACGTACCAGCTGTAACCCTAGTGCACTCAGGAGCCAGCCCAAGATCCCATTTAAATCCCTTAGCAACCCATCTCTGTCACCGGTGATCCGAGGTCAGTGTGGGGTTGGATATTTCCAGATTCTCAGCCTCCTTCCCAGAGAGCTGAAAACAAGGGCCACACAGATTTCCCAATGGAACACGAGAACTTGATTCAGAATACAGACCAGAGAGGGAAGCCCTGTCAACAGTGACGGAAGGCCTCATGAGTGAAGGGACTCAAGGGTCCCAGGTCCCAGCCTGGGGTCCTTTTTCCTTTATTGGAATCTAAGGACAGAAGGAGCTGGTTATTAAGGAGTGTGGTTTAGGGGGCCCTCTACTATGATTGATAGATTAAGTCATACATTCTTTTCCTTTGGTGCGTGTCTCTTCCCATAATGTATCTCATCTTAGCCATAGGCACCCCTAATTGTGCATGCCTAGGCGTAAGAGGGTAAGTAGGGGTCCTGCCCTAAGAGTTCAGTTAACTAGGCTGAACAGAGCCTTTCAATTTCCATCGTTCGGGATACATCATGAATACTTCTGAATAGAAAGCAGCTAATTTGATCGTTTTAGTGGCAGAGAAACTTAGACAACTGTTTAGAGAGAGGAATATGTAGCCCAACTGACATGATGTTCAAAGGGGTTCTAAAGTTGCTAGGTGCCTTATCGGGAGGTAGGTATATGTGTGTAGCATGTGCAGGTAAATGAACTAGGCTGTCATGTATGTTATTAAAAGAAAGGGAGGGTCTACACAGTTAAAACCAGTAGAGTCCTAGGCCAAATCATCCCCTATGCCTGTTTGCCTCACAACTTCAGAACCCATCAAAATCATATATGTGGCAACCGTAAAGACAACTAGCTAAACATGAACCTCTCACAAAAAGCCTGTTTGGTTGTGCCCTGCCCTTTCTGGGAGCACTTCCCTTCCCCCATGTTTCAATCTGCATTAAAATCTCTCTACTACCTTCTACTCTGTTTCATCTCTGCTCCTCCTGAAACTCTCTTCCGCAGTGAAGCCAATAGTCCATTCCTCACCCGAGTGGAGGTATCTTAGGGTTCCTATTCCTATGATAAAATACCATGACCAAAAGCAGCTTGGGGAATAAAATGGGTTATTTCAATGTATTGTTTTAGTCTATCATGCAGGGAAGCCAAGGCAGGCACCTGGAGGCAGGAGCTGAAGCACAGTTATGGAGGAACACTGCTTACTGACTTGCTCCTCATGGCTTGCTCAGCCTGTTTTCTTACACCACCAAGGGCCACCGACCCAAACTTGGCACCCACAGTGAGCTAAGCCTTTCCACATCCATCATTAATCAAGAAAATGCTCCAAAGGCTTGCTATAGGTCGATCCTATGAAGGCATTTTCTCCATTGAGGGTTCCTCCTTTCAGATGATTACAGCTTGTGTCAAACTGACAAAAAGCCAGCTAGCACCAGCCGTCTCTGAGAATGCCTTACACGGTTGCAGGCGTCTTCTCTGGCACATACCTCACAGCCATACTCGCTTGCCCTTGAAGAGGATTGTAGAGCCCCAGTTCCCTCATCTTCACCTCTTTCCCACATTCTAAGTATGAGGTGAAGGGTTTTGCTCCTTCACTGACTGTGGCTGTGATATGCCGTCCACAGAGAAAGTAACAGGCCCAATCAATCATGGTTTGACACCTCTGAAACCGTGAATCAAAATATATCTTTCTTTGTTATACATTGATTATCTTGGGTATATGTTGCAGGTACATAAAGCTGACTGACACACATATCAAGCATACACACACACACACAAACACACACACACAAACGCACACACACAAAGGGGGTGAAGGGAATGACTTCTTAATGTCGCCATGAATTATTTAAGCAATTTCTGTGGATTTTTTCCCCTTATTTTCTTTACTATTATAGCCAGCACTGAAATAAATACTCTTATACCCACACTTTTGGCTGTGTCTTTGATGATTTTCTAAAAACATTTCCCGGAGTTGGCATTATTGGGTCAAGGTAATCTTTTTAAGTTTTTCATCTACTGCCCCACAGAGCCGTCCAAAATTCTGTTGTAATGGTGCAAACATTTGCAAATGCTGACTACAGAGAAGCCAACCTGAGAAGGCTGTGCAAATTATTCCAAAGAGAAAATAAGACCACCAACATTGGGGGAGACCCTGAAAAGACGAAACAGCAAGCATGTCAGCCTGCCCTGGGACTCCAACGGAGGGAGCCACACCTACTGAGCCGTGAGAACTGATCTGCTGTCGAGAGAGAAGATAGTTTCAGAGTCAGTTAACTTGAGGGTCATCTGACCAAGGCAAGTACGGTCAAGGCCTTTAGGATGGGGAGTTTGTTTTCCCTTGACCTGCTTTACCTAAAGCCAAATGTGAGGTAAACAACATGGGGCGCATTCAAGGCTCCTCTATCGGCTTTTTCTTTTGGGAGGTGTTTTCAAGTAATCAGGGCAGTTGTATGGCAGGATGGAGAAGAATGGAAAAGTTGTGGTAATGGTGATGGGGAGGAAGAAGAGGAAAGGGAGGAGGTAGACAAGGATGAAAAGGAGGGTGGCATAGAAGCAGGGTCCATGGGGTTCCCTTCCCACCTGTGTCCTTACCCCTTGTTTTAATGACCAGGGGATGAGAAAATAAACAAGTGCCAGGGACCACCTTGTCTCTTGTGTGCCATGAAAAACAGCCAGAGGTTCGTGGGTGCCACCGGATAAAAAGAGAAACCAAAGGTGAGTGGCAACTGACCTGTGTTTGTTCCTTGGCAGAAATGTAACAGGAATATCTGCCTTGTGGTTCATAAACTCATACAAGAAAATAATAGGCAAAGCCCAAGAGGGCACAGGATATAAATTTTCAATTGATTATTGATTGATAAGAGCAGTCACATTAGTAACCGCCAAATTCCAACTCTTCATCTACACCTGTGGTGCTAAGACTTCTACAGACACGAACTTAATCCTCCTGATGTCTGCACACAGCTCATATTGGGTATCAGGAGGTGGCTAAGGTGACCTGCTCTGTCCTCTAGGGCCCCGGTCCTAACCCTGTTCCGTGTGAACTTGTTCTCTTCTGCCCCGCGGCCCTCTGCAAACGATGGGCTGGTTGCCAGGTGCTGGTTCCTTTAAAACACACGTTTGTGACCCAAATGTCCTCCACACCCATGGTGCAGATACACAGTAATCAAAATAGGCAGAGTCCTAGAAACTAGAAGGCAAAGAGAAGTGACTTTACGTTTATTGGGCCTCCCGATCTGTCAACTTGGAGTTGGCTTTGTCTGAAAGACTCCTGGCTGCTTCAGCAGTCCAGGTCTCTGCCTAGTCCAGGTCTCTGCCCACCACTACCTCCTTGGGGCAGTCTTCCTTGACCACCATGTGTGAATGGAAGAAGCCCTTTCACCCAGTACTCCAATTAGATCTCCTCTTGCTATCCTCTTGTGTGTGTGTGTGTGTGTGTGTGTGTGTGTGTGTGTGCGCGCACACACACACACACACTGACATCTTCATTATCAGCCTCTCCCACCAGAAGAGGAGCATTCTGAATCAAAAGTCTGCTGTGTTTGCTCCTTGGGTCCAGCTGAGCCCATTTCTCAGGTCCTGTCACAACTGTTCTGTATTTAGAAGGTTCCAACACCCCTGAACACAATTTGACTTGAGCGAAAGGTAAATTCCCTGTGGGGCAGAGGCGCCAGAGGAGGGCCAGCATGGGCCTAGGAAACACTCAGAACACAAGGTCAGAGAGCTGGCGCCGACCCTGGTCACCACAGGAATAAGTGATACTGTGGCCTTGATATCCCTCTGCTGGACACCCAATGCTCTCTTGGAGGCTTTCAATAACTGTCAATAATTTATAAACTATGCTTACCGTTTTCTGTCTCTCCTGCAATATTCAGTGTCCCAGGGGATGAACCGAGACTGAATCACCACATCCTGCTTCCCCCGCCTGTTTTCCACTCCCATGACAAGAAGGAGCAAACTGAGATCTTCAAAACTATACACGTGGGGAAATCCTGCAGAATTATAGAGGGGGCTGGGTGCTAGGAAGAGACACTCTCTGTGAACAGCTAAACAGTATGTCAATAGGAAGCCACCCCTTTCCCAAATACTGGTGGCGACTCGTAACTTCATCTGACAACGGGGTAACTTATCCACACTCCCCCACTGGACTCTAGGTATTCATTCTTCTGCCCAGACCTAGTCACAGCCGGTATATACACATTTCTCAGCCACACACAGACAGAAGCAGCCAAGATCCTGGAGGCCCAGCTGTCAACACTGAATGACAGAGAAGGCTGCGATGGTGGGTCGTGAGGGTTACCTGTGAAAAGGTCGTGGGATTGGGGGAGTGGGTCGCTGGCTCTGCTTTCCTGAGCCAGAATAGGCAGCTGTTTCCCAGAACACTGTCACAGTACTTATGGGATTTGTTTCTCCTTGGCAGCCTCTCCTCAGGAGACATCAAGGAGTCTGCCTTCAAAGACACAGGCTCTTTCTTCCTTCTGAGGAACAGAGAAGAGGCGCTTGCACATTCTTCATACTCCTCCTATCAGGGTTGTAGAAAACTAATGTTTCCTTCACGGTCACCCTTGGGTAGCCCATAAAATGAGATGCAGAACGATCCAGAAACCACCGCAACCCATGTGTGGGTCTTACTGAAAGAGAGGTCGAATTTGCGACATTAACAAGCGTGGTCTGGTATACAAAGGCAGGCAGTGCCTCACCGGCTGTTGTGAGGAGTAGCTGGCATTTCTGGCTGCCCCAGAAAACAGGTGACCACGGGCAAGAGTGCACTGGCCTGACCTTTGGCCCCTTGCAGCCTGCAGAGCCCAGCTCTGGGATGCCAGACTGAAGGCCCTTAAGCCTTCCTCAAAGGAGGAACCTCCGCCCCACTTTTTGAGAGCTCTCAGGAAACTGGCCTACCTACTCTTCCTCCCCACCCACTCTACCCTGTACAGGCTTCTAATCTTGTTCCACCCACCTCTGTCCTGAGGGGCCCAGGGGCCTCCTCAGCCACCTCAGCATGTGACAGGAATCTATCCTCCCTCGCCTTCCTGGCAGGAAGCTGTTAGCCTTTTCTCTCTTTTTTTTTTAAGGTGTCCCTGTCGCTCCCTGGGGAGCAGCACTCAGTTCAGCTTCTTTTCCTGCTGCCCGACCCTGTCTCTCAGTTTGGGGGCCTCCAGGAAGAAGGCCCTCATAGCACCTTTCCATCATTATCAGCCCTGACTTTCAGCTCCCCGGAGGGCATCTTGACCCAGGGGTCTCCTTCACCATCACTCCAAATGAGCTGGTCCCTCTCTGCTCAAGTCTCCCCCTCCTCCACTTTCTGCTCTCAGATTCAGCATCATCCCTGGTAGACTGTTGGCCTCATTTTCCAGATCCTCGCTCCGCGTCACCACCCCCTTTCCATTCTTCTCAAATGCTTAATGTCTGCTCTTGCCGACCACGGCCGTGGCATCTGAACTCTCCCCGCCCAGCCTTATACCCTGCACTTATACCCAATCATCTTCTATGGATGATCTCCAAGTTAGCTCATGAGGCCCGAGTTTGTCACTCTCTTGTTCTAAAACCCGCAGTGACTCCCATTTGCTGATAAATGATGCCCTGTCTCTGAGCCTGGCCTCCAACTCTCCGTAGTCCAAGGTTCCCGTTATGGATATGTTCTTCAGGGCTGTTTAAATTCCCACTCATCTCCTAATCGTCTGGGTCTTCCCATCTTTAGACTTTCGTCCAATGGGAAGTTTCTCAGGAATGCGATTTCTTTCATTTGCGTCTGTCAGCATCCTGTCTTCCCTCCGAGGCTCATCTCAAAGGCCACTTCTTCCTGAAAGCCTTCCTGGGCTCTCCTCGCCTAGTACACCTACCTTTCGCCTCTTTCTCTGGGTCTCTAGGTTTCTCTAGCCACGCCCACTGTCCACTGGCTCACCATATCCTCTGCAGTGCTTCCAGTGCCGGAAGACACCGGTTCAAAGCAGATACTCAGGAAAATAAAGATATAGAAATGTGTTTTCTTTACACCCAAGAGTACAGATCAGAGTGTAGATCAAAAACCCACTCCTTGATCAATCGTAGGGAAAATATTCAAGGGGCTTAAGAAAGCTGGGGAAGGGGAAGGCAGGCGGCAGCGGCTGCTCTAAACAAGGCTTTCTTCCTGTAACTGTATCCCCAGGGACCACAGGTACCTCTGCTTAATCTCTCTTTCTGTGGTCACTCAGGATATGATTACTGGCATTAGATGCAAGCACGTGTTTCTGTTCCATTAGTCTGAGCGAGGCTGAGAAACTGAAGAGAGCCACAGGGGTATTGCTGTGAGTGTTGTGTTGGTCCAGTTACCACCTGAAAGAGGAGAGGAGTGGAGGGGGAGCAAGGATTCAGCAGATGGGCCGGGGGGAGGCCTTACGGAAGGAAGCCGAGAGATGAGAAAACCACAGAGTGCAATTCTGCAGGCAGGACTCCGGGTCCCTAAAGCCTAAAGTTACAAGACGCCGGCCGCATAGAGAAGGCATGCACGTGGGACCCGGACCCACAAGGGCACCCGCCCACAAAACAACCCTGTGGCTCAGGCTTCACCCCCACAGGGGGCTGGCCATCAGCCTGGCAACCCCGATGAGCACTGTTGCTCTGGTACACAGTAGCCCACGCAGCATAAATCTGTCTCCCACGCAGGAACAGCCTGAACGGGGAGGCTACAGCCCGGTAATGAAGACACGAACCGCTGAAATGCCGTGTCAGATGGCGGCGGTGACATCTGAAAGCCGTAATTTGCTGCTCGGCATATTTTCGTTCCAGGTACCAGAGCCTGCACAAACGCTGTCGTGTCTCTCCAAGGCAGCGGCTCTGCTCCCGAGCCTGGCTCTGGGCCAGGTGGTCTTGGCCTTGCCTGCCAACAGGGTTTTCTTTTCTTTTTCTTTTTTTCTTTTCTTTTGGTGTCGAGCTCAGGAAGTCTATTCCGAGATCATCTGACCATGCAGAAATGGGGGAGTAACATGAGGTTAAAAGCACACCTTATTCCCCAAAGTGCCGGTCTCTCACCCCAATCTGAGTGTCCAGGCTGGCTTCTGAAAGGGTGGACTTGAAAGGAGTCAAAATAATTTTAGCCACACCAGAGCCGGAGGGCTCTGAACAGATCCGTTGCTCAGGGCGGCTCACCCTTCTTTCAGTGAGTGGCTTCACCGGCTGCCTATCTCTCCTCCTCATTGTTACCTTCCCAGAACCTCAGTCAGGCAGACAAGCAATTTCTGTGAGTACAGTTCTTCAAATGAGAGGTTATCATTGTAGCCCTCTCTGGCTACCTGGCACTTAAGGAATCGGTGCCCGAGTTCAGACCCGTGGATGGAAGGGAAGAGGAGCCCCCACAACATACCAAAGCTATGCTTAAACCACAGGAACTGGGTGATTCAAGGTCTGAGCAGACAGACCTTTCACTGCTAATC